TCAGGGCACTTGCATATTTAACTCAATCCCCTTTGGCCTGTATTGCGCCCCTAAATGCTGATGATTCTGTCTGCTGTGCCCCCTCCCTCAGTGACCGTAAAGGCTCCTCAGACGCCCTGACTGCCAACAAGTACCTGGGGCTGGTGAAGGTCCTGACCAAACACGGGAGGCTGGAGGGTGAGTGTCTCTGCGGTTTTGCGTTGTGTTTGAGGGGAGGCCTAGGCAAGGGACCTGTCTCCCTTTGCTGTGAGCTCTGAAAGGCTTTCGTAGGTGTTGCTGTTTGTTGTAATCGGTGGCCGGTGTTTGCCACAGGGTTCGACGGTCAGGCTTCCCCGCATCCTGTTTTTCTCAATTCAGTCTGAGCAACACAGCTGCTGATGTATCATTTCAACATCATCATCACAGTGTGTGCACGCGCAATAATCACGTCGCATTTTTTTGACACTGCGTTGTGCCTCCTGGCAACACTCCCAGCTTATTTAACACACTCTACTGGCAGATAAGTTCTATTTGGCTATAGTTTATTTCATGGGATTTCGTCGTCTTTGTTTTGTCTTATAAGTACCTCAATTTTTTTTGCGAACGTTTCGCATATCACGATGTATCATGCAGCCCTGCCGAACGTCGTCTTAGGATGTCTGGATTTCGCCGCAGCGTGACCTGGACTTGGTGGATACGCTTGTGATTATCATTGTGGATTTGGGTGTCCTTCCGGAGTGCGAACTTCAGTAAACAGATTCAAATGAGACTGACTGTCCAGAAATCTCATTTCACGCTAATGTCCGCTTTTGGTGGCTGCATTCTTATAGGGAGTCTCAGTTAGTCACTTTGGGAGGATAAACTTTTGTACCCCCAGCCCCCCCTCCATTCATCCCATTCTGTGGCAATTTGTGGAACAATCACACAGCTCTGCTGATCCTGCTCTCAGCGGTCTTAAAATAAGGATCTCCAATAATTTGTTCTCCAATCTGTACACACGGATCTTTTTCCCACAATGTGAATCGTGGCACTGGGTGGAATTTAAATAGGCTATTCAGAGAATCCCGTATTAAGCGGAGATTATGTGAATTCCGTGGTGGTTTTCTCGGAGCATGTAAGATATAATTACGATAAGGTCCGCCTTCGTTTGCCACTCCCCGCCCAATTCAAGTAATAACGTGCCCCCCTCCCCGAAGCGTGGATGAAATCACCGGACACCTCGCCACTTTAACAGAATTACCCGGGAAAGAGTGCCCGGGTGCTAATGTCCACCAGAGCACTGCGTGTGGATTGCTGAGTGAATTCCGGCGTACAGTGTACCGCTGCCTCCGCCATCTTGTCATATGCATTAGCGTGCTTTGCTAGCTTCACTTCTCTGCCAGGGCCGGGCCCCCGTGGTCGAGCGCGAGATCACATGGTGGCTTCCTGTCCTCCTGCAAGCCTTCCAGACTTAAGGCATCTGCAGGTTGGATGGGACTGGATGTCTGTGAACAGGACTGAAGTTAACAGGCCAGTAAAACCAGACTGCATGTGGGAACGTGTGGCCTGTCTGCGTTTTGGCAGTATCCGTGGATATTTATCACGCCGCCGTATTGAAGGCACTTTGACAACATCTGGGAAAAATCCCGCAACGATGTTGGAGCCATAAGCAGTCATTTGAGAATCTGCATGTTTGGTAGGGGCATATGAAGGGCCGTTATTCATGCAGAGAGGCCAAGCTTATTAGCCAGTCATATGTTTTGATTCAATGAGTGACATTCGAGGGTGCACTCTGGGGGCTAATCAGCTTTCACTTAGTGTCCGTGGCCCCGCCCCTGTATACACCCCTGAAGTATTATTTGAAGCCTTGTAACCTAAAGAGGGATAGATATTTTTCCTTTGTCTGTATGTAGCTTTAGTAATGTGATTTTTAGTCTAGGACATTATCTTTGGGCCCTGTTTTGAGCTGAAAGCGGACAGGCGGGGAATGGGGGCGCTCCGCAGGGCAGCGGGACTCGCGCTCGGCAGGGAAACTCGGGCAGCGGTTTGTGCCGATTAGATCTGTAACTTTGAACAATTAGAATGCCCCTCGGTGGGGGCCCAACTGCGCGGGACGGAGAAAACACAAAACAAAAACGAACTCTTGAAAAACCCAGCATGACCCTGATGATGCCCCCTCCCTCATCCTCCACACCCCCCCCACCCCCAAATCGCTCTCTCTGTTTTTGCCCCATTAAATCTCTGACAGTCGACGTGCTGGCTCCTCATTTGCATAACAACAGGGTGTGAGCGAGCGAGTGAGCGGGAGCGCGTCCAATGAGGGGCGAACTGGCGGAGAGGGGCCGGACCAGCTGGAGGGGGGCCATGGGGGGGACGAGGGTGTGGTGCGGGGGGCCACGTGCTGTGCCCATCGAGCCGCTGGAGTGCCATCTAGTGCCAAGGCGAATGGGAGGCAGTGTTGTACCGTGCCAAGCTGGTAAACAAACGGTTCCGATGTCCTGTCTGATGGAAACCCGCATCTGAAAGGCCGTTTCTGAACCCAGTCCGCCACCCTCCCCATCGGTAAGACTTTTGACCCATTTCAATTCTACGTCATCTGGCTCAACTTGGTCCACTCTGCTGACCTGGACCCCGGCAGATCCTTCATTGGGCCTGGTTTCACCGATGTTAGCCCCTTGGGGGGGGTTGGGGGGGTGAGAAGGGCACGGCTGCTCCAGCCAGCCCCTGCTGTAATTAGTATCGTCGCTTTCAAACAGACCCTATCAATATCAGACCATTAGCGCGGTCCTAAACACAGTGTAAACACATCTTAATTATCTGGCCCGCTGACAGAGCAGCTGCCTGTTGGTGCGTTGGGGGGGGGGGGCGCATCGGAGGGGGGTGCGTTGTGGCAGCTGGATGCCGAGCTGGAGAACAGCCCGATAAAAGCCCCCATTATGGCCCCCGCGTGTCCCGGAGCCCTGAGGTCCGAGGCTGGGGGGGCCGGCCGGGTGCTCACCGCACACCTATAATTAGCGCCCGCCGCTGCGTGGAGCCGATGGCGTGCCGGTATTGGGGGCCCTGTTAATTGTAGTCTCGTTTAGAAATGCAAGTAGTAATTAGCTGGAAATTGGCATTATACGGGCGAATTTGCATTCCTGCTGGGTGTAAAATGCTGTTTTAATAGCGGTTTGTTTTCCCTACATGAAATTATCTAAGGGCCCTTTTTCCACCCCCCCACCCCCCTGCTTTCTCTTTCTCTCATCA